TGGACTTTTTTTGGTGATTACGATGTCTTCATTGTAACAAGTGTACCACTCTGGTAGGGGATGTTGATAATGGGGAAAGCTATGCATGTGTGGGGGCAGGGGATATACAGATCTCTGTTGCTTCCTTTAAATTTTGCTGTGAATCTAAAACTCCTCTAACAAAATAAACTCTTTAAGTACTTTCTAAAAATTATTTCCATTAGCAACCCTTAAAAATGAAATACTTAGCTATAAGTCTAACAAAGTAGGTATTAGATCTATATGAAGAAAACTATAAAACTCTAATGAAAGATATCAAAGAAGAATTAAATTAATGGAGAGATATCCCATGTTCTTGGATAGGAAGACTCAATATTGTCAAGATGTCAGTTCTTCCCAACATGATCTACAGATTCGATACAATTCCAATCAAAATCCCAGCAAGTTATTTTGTGATTAACAAGCCAATTTTAAAGTATATATAGGAAGCTGAAAGATCCTGTACAACCAATTCAACATTGAAGAACAATGTCAAAGGACAGACTACTTCAAGACTTTCTATAAAGCAACAGTAATCAAGATAGTGTGCTACTGAAAGAGACAACAGATCGGTGGAACAGAATAGACCCACCTAAATATGGTTAACTGATTTTTGACAAAAAAGCAAAGATAATACAATGGATAAAAGATGGTCTTTTCAACAAATGGTGATGGAACAACTAAACATCAACATGCAGAAAAAATGAATCTGTCACAGACCTCATATCTTTCACAAAATTTAACTCAAGCTGGATCATAAACTTAAATGTAAAACACAAAACTATAAAGCTCCTAGAAGATAACAAGAAAATCTAGATGACCTTGAATATGGAAATGACTTTTAAAGAAATCAATGATAAGCTGGGTTTCATTAAAGATTCTGTTCTGCAAAACACAATATAAAGAAAATGAAAAGCCATAGACTGCAAAAAAAAGTATTTGTAAAAGACACATGTGATACATAACTGTTATCTAAATTGTATAAAGAACTCTTACAACTTAAAAAAATGAACCACCCAATTAAAAAATGGGCAAAAGAACTTAAAAGACACCATACTCATTTTTATTTTATTTTTTAAGATTCTATTTATTTGAGAGAGAGTGAGAGAGAGTACAGGCCAGGGGGAGAGGCAGAGAAAGAAGGAGAAGCAGACTTCCCGCTAAGCAAGGAGCCTGACATGGGGCTTGATCCCAGGACCTGAGCAGAAGGAAGATGCTCAACTGACTAGAGCCACTCAGGCGCCCTGACATCATACCTATTTTTAAATTAGGATGTCTTTTTACTGTTGCATTTGTAAGAGTTATTTATATATTCTGGATTCTAGACCTTTATCAGATAAATGATTTCCAAATATTTTCTCCCATTTCTGTGGGTTATCTTTTGACTTTGATAGTGTCTTTTAGTGCACAGAGACACTTCTACTGGACTTAATTTTGATGATATCCAATTTCTCTATTTTTCTCTCTCGTTGCTTTTATGTTTGCTGTCTTATTAAGAAACCAATGCCCCATAAAAGGTCATGACTTACCCTTGTATTTTCTTCTGAGAGTTGTATAGTTTTAGTTCTTACATTTAAGTTTTTCAACCATTTTGAGCTAATTTTTATAAATGGTAGAGTCCAAATTCATTCTTTTGAAGGTGGATATCCAATTGTCCCAGCACCATTTGTTGAAAAACTATTATTTTTTCCCCTGTTGAATGGTCTTGACACAAATGTCAAATCAATTGACCATAAATAGGAGTTTATTTCTGGATTCTCAATTCTATTCCATTGATCCATGTATCTTAGGACTTTTAGTAATACATTAATCATTTATTACATCCATGAAACAAAGTCCTTGAAGGCAGGCGAAACATCTTTATTCACTGTAGTATTTTTTACTCAGCACTTAGCAGACCCTCAAAACATGTTCACTGAACAAATGAAATTAATAATTTACTTTTGAGGAAAGGAATGGGAATGGAGTCCACAAGAAAGATGGGCTCCTTTCCTCTCATACAGTACTTTACCATTTGATGTGGATTTGGAATTTTGGCATTCCTTCTCCATTATTTGCAATGGAATTTTTTTTTAAGTTTCAGGTGTACAATTTACTGATTCAGCACTTACTTACAACACCCAGTGCTCATCACAAGTGCACTCCTTAATCCCCACCACCTATTCTTAACCCATCCCTCTACCCACCTCCCCTCTGGCAACCATCAGTTTGTTCTCTATATAGTTAAGCATCTGTTTCTTGGTTTGCCTCCTTTTTCCCCCCTATGATCATTTGTTTCTTAAATTCCACATGAGTGAAATCATATGGTATTTGTCTTTCTCTGATTATTTCGCTTAGCATATAATACTTTCTAGCTCCATCCATGTCATTGCAAATGGCAAGATTTCATTCTTTCTTATGGCTGAGTAATATTCCATTGTGTGTGTGTGTGTGTGTATATATGTATAGTATGTATCTTCTTTATCCATTCATTGGTCAATGGACATTTGGGCTCTTTCCATAATTTGGCTATTGTTGATAATGCTGCTTTTATAAACATCAGGGTGCACAGTATCCCTTTGAATCAATATTTTTGTATCCTTTGGGTAAACACCTAGTAGTGCAATTGCTGGAGTGTAGGGAAGTTCTATTTTTAACTTTTTGAGGAACCTCTACCCTGTTTTCCAAAGTGGCTGCACCAGTTTTCATTCCCACCAACAGCGCAAGAGGGTTCCCCTTTCTCCACATCCTCACCAACACCTGTTGTTTCCTGTGCTGTTAATTTTAACCATTCCAACTCATGTGAGGTAGATAGCTCATTGTAGTTTTGATTTGTATTTCCCTGATGAGTGATGCTGAGCATCTTTTCATGTGTCTGTTGACCATCTGTAGGTCTTTAGAAAAATGTCTATTCATGTATTCTACCCAATTTTTAACTGGATTACCTTTTTTAGGTGTTGAGTTTTATAAGTTCTTCATATATTTTGGAACCACAAAGGCCCCAAATAGCCAAAGCAACCTTGAAAAGGAAAAGCAAAGCTGGAGGCATCACAATTCGGATCTCAAGTTATATTACAAAGCTGTAGTGATTAAGACAGCATGATAACTGGCACAAAAAGAGACAGATCAATGGAACAGAATAGAAAATCCAGAAATGAACTCAACTATACGGTGAAATAATCTTCAACAAAGCAGGAAAGAATATCCAATGGAAAAAGGATGGTCTCTTCAACAAATGGTGTTGGGAAAACTGAACAGCAACAAGCAAAAGAAACTGGACCGCTCTCTTACACCATACACAAAAATAAATTCAAAATGGATTAAAGACCTAAATGTGAGACAGGAAACCATTAAAATCCCAGAAGAGAGCACAGGCAGTAATTTCTCTGACATCAGCAGTGGCAACTTCTAAATAGGTCTCCTGAGGCAAGGGAAACAAAGGCAAAAAATAAACTATTGGGACTTCATCAAAATAAAAAGCTTCTGAACAGCAAAGGGAACAATCAAACTAGAAGGCAACCTACCAAATGGTAGAAGATAATGGCAATTATTCATTTTAACATTTACTGAACATCCTGTACAAAAATATGGGCACCCTAAAGTTGGCAACTGAGGAAAAGAGGTCATGAACTCAAACAGCAACAATTAAAAGCTGTCAAGTGTTGTCAGATAACACAAAGAAAATGCTCCTGAAGATAGAACAGAAATCACTTTCAACCAGGATATCTAGGAGTATCCCCCTCTCACTCATAAAGTCTTCTTGAAGGGCAGTTAATACCTCAAATTTGCTGCCAAAAGAATTTTGGGGGGGAAAAAAAAAGGAGACAGGAGTTTGAATTTTACTAATATTGTTTGGGGGTTGATTAGCTCTCAAGAGAAAGAACAGCTATTCTTCTAAAGCAAATTCCTGGGACCTACTGTTTTGGTTTGTCTGATACATATACCTCAAAAGTATAACATGACCTATAAAGTTTTAAAAACATAAATTTTAGATTAACACAGGATTAAATTCAGATGGCACAGGACTTAGGCACCTAAATCCATGGATCTTAATTATAATTTTAGGCCTTCCCTTCACTGCCTCAGCCAACCCAATTATTGTCATGCTGATTTTTTTTTTTCCCCCAGAGAGGAAGAGAGAGAGAGGGTGGGAGGGAGGGGCAGAGAGAGAGAGAATCTTAAGCAGGCTCCACACGCAGCACGTGAGCCTAAGGTAGGGCTTGATCTCACAACCCTGAGATCATGACCTAAGCCAAAATCAAGAGTCAGATGCAACCGACTGAGCCACCCAGGTGCCCTTCTGTCATGCTGATTTTAAAGAAAGATACGTATTCAAAGCTTGGATATAAGATTTTTTAAAAAATCTGCTAGTAGAACATGTAATATAAACTTACATTGTGTGAGTTCTTTCTTATTAAAAGATCTGATACCAAAAATAGATGAAAAAGTAGAAGACAGTGCCATATATGAGAAACAGTCTTTGGACTTAGTTAACAGTTTCTCCTAAATATGACCTGAATCTCTGAGCTTGTGTGTGTGTGCGTAAAATGGAGGTAATCTCCTTCCTCAGAGTGGTTATAAGGATTTCACAAGATGATATATATGTCCATAAAGTAGGTAATCAATAAGGTTCCAACATTTCATAATGGGAAGAAAGATTAACACTATTTAAAAAGCCTTTCCTAACAGAAAAAAAAAAAAAGAAGAAGAAGAAGAAGGTAGCGGGAGGGGAAGAATGAAGCGGGGGAAATCGGAGGGGTGGACGAACCATGAGAGACGATGGACTCTGAAAAACAGGCTGGGGGTTCTAGAGGGGAGGGGGGTGGGAGGATGGGTTGGCCTGGTGGTGGGTATTGAGGAGGGCACGTTCTGCATGGAGCACTGGGTGTTATGCACAAACAATGAATCATGGAACACTTCATCTAGAACTAATGATGTAATGTATGGGGATTAACATAAGAATAAAAAAAAAATTGGGAAAAAAATAAAAAATAAATAAAAAGCCTTTCCTAACAGATATTCAATACCTTTATTGTAGAGGGAAAGATTATCAAAATATTCCCAAAAGCACAACTCTGAAATGCCAGTTTTGTTCTTAAAGGACTCAAAGCTTTAATGGTGTTTACATCATACAGTCAGGAAGTAGAACCACCCCTCAAAAAAGAAAAAAAAGCAAAAATGCCAAGATCTTCTCCAACCACAATTATTTTTACTATGAAACAGAATTTCCTTACAAATTAAGTAGTTTTTACAGTGGTGACATTTATCACTGATGTGATCTGTTTAATATGACTGTAGTCAGAAGGGAAGTTGGGCCTGTTATTTTTCCAGAAATTGAAAAAAGTACCATCATTAAGATAAGGAAGAGAAAGATTTGTATCCATCTTTCTGGGACATGTAAGGTGAGAGTGCAGTCTCACAGTTGGAGAATTTGTGGATATTGCTGGAGGAATTGGAGATGCTCTCTAGCAAGCGAGTAATCCCTCTTCCCCGAACACTGCTGTTTTGGCCAGAAATTCTCACCCCAGATGGATAGTCACCTAAGGATATTGGAAATACAAGAAGAGAAATGTAGCAATTTTATGGTTTTATTATACAGAGATCCCTTGATTGACTCTTATCCCACTGTAGACCTTTCATGAATAGGACAGAAATTCTTAGTAAAGGAAAACAGATGCTCAGAGTAAAGGCAAAAGGCTGAACAAGAATATTTTTGTTTTTAGCCCCAGAAACCTTAATTGAAGTTCTTCAGGCACCACTTGAAATTTCATGTCCCTAGGTTTTAAATTTTCCTATCTGCCCAAAGACATCACAAAACTATAAAACTATAGCTGCTACAAGAATAACAGGCTTTATTTTAAATGCCTTGAACAAAAGGCTGGAGGCTAAGGTAATTATATTAAAGTGATACAAAACTGTACATATGCAAATTGTTTAAGGTGCTAATAATGCCAAATTAAACTCTCAATTCAACAAGATCTATATTTTAAAGCTAATTTAAAGCATCTGTTTAAGTACCATACCATACGCTATACTGGCTAAGGTACATTCTCAGGAAATAGAAGGTGCTTACCAGTGGGTGTGTTTGGTCTTTGTTCCTGATTAGAAGGGCTGAAATGAGAAAATCCTGGACTCTCAACCCTCAGCTTCTACAAGTAACAAAGAAAAATACAAGGGAAAGTTTTATTTCTTATCAATTGTTGGATCATCTACTTCAATTTCAAATTATTCTTTGTAAAATACCAACTAACACCCATTTATCCAACATCTAATCAACTTTTGAAGAGTACTGCTGTATAGGGAAGCAGAAGGTAGTGTTTGGAGGGGAATTACAGGGTCAAGAGAGGGTTATTTTATTTTATTTTAAAGATTTTATTTATTTATTCGAGAGAGGCAGAGGGAGAAGCAGGCTCCCAAGGAGTAGGGAGCCCGATGCGGGACTCGATCCCAGGACCCTGGGATCATGACCTGAGCCGAAGGCAGACGCTTAACCATCTGAGCCACCCAGGCGCCCAAGAGGGTTATTTTTAAAGATGAGATTATAGCAGGTTTCCTGATAAGAAGGATTCAGAACTGAGAGAAACCCTGATGATGCAAGAAAAGAAGTAAATTGTTGGGAGACACATCTTTGCGCAGGTAAGAGAATAAGATCTAAAACATAAACAGAAGGATTGGTTTTAGCAGGAGCACAGACAATTCATGCATTAAAACAGGAGTTAGGGCACCTGGGTGGCTCAGTTGGTTAAGCGACTGCCTTCGGCTCAGATCATGATCCTGGAGTCCCTGGATCGAGTCCTGCATCAGGCTCCCTGCTCGGCTAGGAGCCTGCTTCTCCCTCTAACCCACCCCCCTCTCATGTACTCTCTCTCTCTTTCTCGCTCTCTCAAATAAATCTTAAAAAAAAAAAAAAAAACAGGAATAAAAGCAGAGTACATGGTAGGTGTGGTGGTAGGAATATGTAGAAAATCTCTTCTGACTGCTTCTATTTTCTCAGAGATTTGGAGGCAAGGGCATCAGGTATGTCAAACAAGGATTGAAGTAACCGTAGGAGACTGGGAGAAATGGACAACTGACAGTGTTCCACTAAGGGCTCACGTGAAGTTGGTAGCGATATTTAATAAAAACAGTCAGTATAGACAGTTTCTTTTCAGCCTCATTTAGCTTCATGAGTATAGGAACAGAGTACGTGAAGAGTTAGATTTAATCAGGGTTAGTGTTTGTCAACCAACTACTGATTATATCAGTAGTTTATTCTACTTTGGGGGTTTCCTTTTCATTGTTTTATGAACTACTTTTAAAGAACAACATTTATTTATTATCTACTATGTTCCAAGGCAGGGCTCTTGGCATTTTCATATACAGTTGCATTTAATCCTACAACTACTAGCCCTTATTACTGTTCTTGTTGTACAGATAAGGAATCAGCACAGAAAGTTCAAATAACTTGCATAAAGTCACACAGCCTGTATGGAGCAGGCCTGAAATCCAATTCAGGAATTCTAACTCCAGAGTCTATACTCTTAGCTGCTACGTTGTTAGTAGTATATAAAGGCCTACTAGTAAATAAATTGCAAAGAGGGAAGAAAGGCAGTAGGGAAATTAGGTAGCTTTTAATCAAATTCTGACTCAGGTCTTATACATTTTTGAAGTAAATATTTTCAATATTTACATTATCTACATTCATATTTTAATTTTTGGAATGAATTTTGGAGATGATTTGTATAAAGACTAATTGTTAATGTTAATTTTCTTAAAACTTCATTAAATATAGTAGAAAAATACACCAGGAGGGAAAAAAGATTTATGCAACTGGGTCCAACTGGATTAAGAAGTGTTTGACATTCCAGGGGTGCCTGGGTGACTTCAGTCAGTTGAGCAGCCAGCTGACTCTTGATTTCAGCTCAAGATCTGAGAGTCCTGGGATGGAGGCCTGTCCACCCTGGTCTGGCTCTGAGCACAGCAGGGAGTCTGCTCCCTCTCTTTCTGTCCCTCCCCCTGCAAGCTCTTTCTCGCAAATAAATACTTTTTAAAAAGTGTTTGACATTCCATAAAGGATTTAAAAAAAAAAGTTTTAGAAAAAAGAGAGAACCAAAGTCTCGATCTCTAGCTGCTATTGACCAGGACCGCACTGAGTAGCACATATAAAGCGATCAGTAGCTCCTAAAAGTCAGTTACCTGGTAACGCCCTGCATCCAATACAACCATTTTGGGTGTCACACTATTGCTGGCCTCATAATCCTGAAGCGGTACATGAGTCTCTGTGAGCTGGATTCCAAAGAGAGTGGCCAGAGAGTTACTGATGCAGTACCTTTAAAAGGAAATAAGAAAAGCTCATTATCAGAATCTGATCTAATTCATTCTAAAATGATTCATATTTTAAAAATTTCTAATATAAAGAGAAAGCATGTAAGATCTACTGTCTTAAACTGGGGAAAAAAGAAATTTAGAGATTTGGAGAAGAAATGGGAATGGGTAGCAATACATATCATAAACTGGTCATTAATGGTAAGCAATACTCCGATTACCAGATAAAATTTCAGGTTCATTATAAGGGAATAGGATTAAGAGTAAAGATTACCAGAATTCTCCAATGTTTAAGGCAGGCAAAGGGCAGCAACAGAAATTAGGCTGCAACTTTATAAACACTTTTTTATCCTCAGAACCAACTGTAACCAGCCATGTAAAGGGACCACCAGAGCACCCAAAGATCCAAGGCTCCAGGTGCTTTCACTATAAAATGATAAAAGTATCTCTATTTTTTGAGCACTTTAGCAAGGAAATGCTGTTGCTAATGATATTAGGGATTTCATGTCCTACAAGGAAAATTTTCAGTAAGTGCTTCTGAAGGTTCACCCAAATTACTCAGGTGGTAACTATACTAAGAAGTATGACATGGACAGAATAATAAAAGGAACATGAAGTTTAAAAAAAAACCCAAAAAACCAAACCTGTCTTAGAAGAGAATTATGGAAATAGAGGTGAAAAGCAACAGCAAGCAAAATGGCAAAGAACTCAATGCAGAATACAGCATTACGAAGAAATGCCTTTCTCCAACTTACGCAATTTTCTTGCAAACAGCTAAAGCACAGAAGAGAATATCGTTTTCTTCATGCCACTTGCACCTGTACAAAAAACAGGACTTTAATATCCTTAATGGCAATAGCACTGCTTAAAGATTTTTATATGCCAGATTTCTAACTTACCAAGTTAAAATCATTTAAGAAAAACTGACACTATTACTCAAAGATTAAGGTTTTTCATTTAACAAACAAAAAATAGATTTTTAAAAAAGGTTTAAAATGTTATCTCCTCTGATGTAAATTCATGATGCTATGCAAACCATACATAACTGTAACAGGTAAATTCTACCTTGAAATAAAATAAGTGTTACAGAGACACATTAATGACTGGTTAATGTGCAGTTGTTCGACAACTGTTTACTAAGTGCATACTATTTACCAGGTATTGTTCTTGGCACTAGGGACACAGTATTGAATGAAACATGGGCTCTTGGGCGTGGAGCCTAGTTTAAAAAAAAAAAAGGGATGGGGGAGGAGGAGGGAGAAGAAAGAAGAAGAAGAAAAAGAATGAAACACAGAAACTCTTACCCACACAAAACTTACCTTCTAGTAAGGAAGACAGATCAAAAAAGATGTAGGCATAATACACAGTAAATTAGATAAAAACAAGTTCTAAGGAGGAAAAAAATATAAAGATAAAAAAAATGATATGAAATGTTGGTGACATTTTAGAAAAGGCCGTCAGGAGAGGGACCACTGAGAAGCTGTTTGAGTGGGGACCTTAGAAGGTTAATAATTAAGAGGAACTGCCGAACAATGTATTTTTACAATGAAAGCCACTATATACCTAAATTTTCACTGAGCACAGTCTACTGAGACTCAGAACAGTACTACCTGCATACTAGCAAGATTTAAAAATTACAAACATGCTAAACACTAAGTGTAAAAAAATCAGTTAATTACACTTAAGTTACTTAACTGAATGGAAGACTACACCTAAATATAAGATCAAGAATTTCTCCCACTGCTTTTCTAAAAAGTGATTCAGTAAATAGGACTCATAAAACTGCAACTCTAAAATGAAAGCTTAGGTTGAAACTAAGCCTATGTTCTTACATATGCACAGAATCAAATATTTAAATTTCCAGTTAGTTTTGCTCCTTTTCCAGAACTTAAACCCCAAGTTTAGTACCTCATATACACATTTCCACTGCAGATCATATTTGAAATAAAAGCAACTGAAAAACCAACAATGTATTCCAGGATTAAAAACAAACCCAAGAACAAACCTATAGAAATCTGATCCCAGGGAAAAATACTTCCAAACCTACAGTTACACTGTTAAAAATGACACTGTTTTCATCTGTTTAAGTTTTTATTTAAATTCCAATTAGTTAACATACAGTGTAATATCAGTTTGGGGTCTACAATTTAGGGATTAAAAACTTACATACATCACCCTGCACTCACCACAAGTGCACTCCTTAATCCCCATCACCTGTTTCCCCCATCCCTCCAACACCCCCCCCCCCCCCCCCCCCCGCCCCGGTAACCATCAGTTTGTTCTCTATAGTTGAGAGTCTGTTTCTTGGTTTGCCTCTCCCTTTTTCCCTCCTACAATCATTTGTTTCTTAAATTCCACATATGATGAATCATATGGTATTGGTCTTTCTCTGACATTTCTTCTTGATTCTCTTCCCCAAAATCATCCCACCAATCCCCCTAAAAATAGGAGTGTATTTTCTAGTAAAGAAAAATTCACTCTAAAAATCTGTCAAAAATCAGAATTGCTTTGTACACTTTGTTAAGCTATTAATATTCACTTTGCAGCCTCAAATCTAGCCCTAGCTTTGACACATCTTATATGGGCTTCTTTTATGAAATTTCACTCAAAAGTCATAAGGTCACAAGTGAGTCGGGTCTTTTGGGTAAATCCGTCCAACACTATCTCATTCACTCAAATGATGTGTCACATAAAGGCCTTGACACTCTTTTCTTATCTCAAAAGGTCTCAATGATCTCCTTTCCTCCTATTTCAGGATTACGATCCCTCCTTCTTTTCAAGGATAACCCAGCCTTTCCCTTGCTCAGAACCATGATCACCTGACAGGTACAGAGGTTCTGTACTCTAGTCAAATGGAGTCACTAGCTTCTCTTCAACAGTTTCTGTGCTTTCAGTCCTTTGAGTCACTGTTCAGGCCCTTTTCTCCTCTTGAAAGTCCTCCTTTCAACCTAAATCTCTGCTCATAGAAATTCTATTCATCTTTTCAGGAGAACCATTTACCCCATAAAGTATTTCATATATTTTTAGCCCTTACACTCAAGTGATTTCTCCCTGATGTATCATAATCTTTTGAAACACTTTTATGAATTATCAGAAATTATCATATACAACTCCAGTGTCTTTATTGCTCTTGTCAGACAGGAGGCACTGAGGGCTAGGACAATCATGCTACTCTTTCCCATATTTTCCACAAAACCTAGTCTCAGGCCTTATATACAAGAGCTACCCAATATTGGGTTAAAAATAAAAAACTCGATAAATTGGGCTAAGAAAAAACAATTCTAAAGTGACATCAAAATATAAAACTGCACCCCTTAAAACTACAATTCTGGGGCTTCTGGTTTAAAATGCATAAATTTATCTTCTTTGCTCCCAAGACTCTACCAAATGACAGTCAAAGAATAAAAACAGTAGCAGTCCACAATAAAGGGAAAACAGAAAGAGGCCTCCATGGAAGAGAATTTAACATGTGTGGGAAACAGAAAGTAAATGAGGGCATAGTAACCAAGGAGGCTAGATAAAGGAAGTCACAGCCTTCAGTCCTCACAGACCCAGCTGCACAGGAGATCTGCCTACCAGAAGTCAAAAGAGGCTCTGAACCCATGCACATGTCCCTGGCCAGAGAGCAGAGGTAAGACAGGAAACTGAACTTCTTCTGAACAAAGAATGGTCAAGTTCCCTGACCCTGTACAAAGAAGTAAACTGCTCTTAGGAGAATCAGGCAGCGAGAATGGGTGCTGGTACCTCAAGGCAAAGCCCACAATATTGTGGCATTTAGGATTCTGCCTCAGCTTAACATCTAGTTCCCTCATCTTCTTCCCCTACAATAAAACCCAACTAGTTGATAATCCCCAATGAATACAGAGCATTTACTCAGCTTTGCAGCCCAATTTCTAAACATGAACACAACCAAGGACAATCATTCAAAGAAAGCATGCAACACAAGACAGGACCACAACTCACAACCCCCAAAGAATGAGACAATCCAGAGAACAAAAGCAAACAAACATCCTTGCCCCACCAACAAGTACCCCAATGAAATGTGAAATTATTGCATCTATGATCCTACTTTTATTCCTCAGATCTTTAACCCAAATCAACACTGACGATGGCTATGACAATATGTAACATGATAGTAACTGCAGGCTGAGAGGTACTGAGACCTCCAAAAGTCAGCCGCTGCCCAGTTTTAAAATGTCAGACCTTGTTAGGGCTCTGTGCTGGGTCCTCTTCTCTTTTTGCCCTCTGCCAAAGTGACCTCATCAATATGCTGTAAGATCCATTAAAGCAGAAGACTGGTCTCTCTTCACTGTATTTTCAGTGCCCAGAACAGTGCCTGGCACATAGTGAAATGAATGCTAGCATTATCCAAACCTCTCCACTGAGTTCTAGACCAGGACCACCAGCTGCCTGCTTGTTATTTCTAGAGCTTACCTCACCAGGGCCTCAAAACATTCTAAACTTGCTCCTCTCTCTCTTCCCCATCTATAAACCTAAGCATGGTCTTTATTTCTTTTCAATCTCCCTTTCGTATCCAGTCCATCAGCAAGGTCTACTGGTTTTTACCCAGATGAAATCTACTTATTCCTCTCCGTTTCTACTGTCACCCCTCTCCAAGCCATTTCTTGTCTAGACTAGAGAAATAGTCTAATAGTTATAGACTGTACTTCCTTGTTGGCCCCTTTTCAATATATCCCTTAAAAACTCAGGAGATCTTTTAGAAACCTAATCAAATTCTGTTAATTCCATTTGATAAAATTCCTTCCCGTACTCCCTAAATACAGAGAACTGATGGTTGCCAAAGGGGAAGTGGAAGGGGGAGAAATGGGGAAAAATTCCTTCCTGCAGCTAAGAAGGCTTATGGTATTTATGGTCCTTGCTTATTTCTTTAACCTCACCTTGTGTATTCTCCCCTTTGCTCACTACTTCCAGTCACACTGACTTAACAATTTCCAGTAAACACCAAGCTTTCACCTCCAGGCTTTTGCACCTCTCTGCCCAGGATGCTCTTCCTTCCATTTTTCACATGGCTACATCGCTCTCTTGCTTCAGATCTCAGTTTTAATGTTACATCCTCAAAAAAAAGTCTTCCTTTTTTTTATTTTTTATTTTTATTTATTTATTTTTTTATTCTTATGTTAATCCCCATACATTACATCATTAGTTCTAGATGAAGTGTTCCATGATTCATTGTTCGTGCACAACACCCAGTGCTCCATGCAGAACGTGCCCTCCTCAATACCCACCACCAGGCCAACCCATCCTCCCACCCCCCTCCCCCCTAGAACCCTCAGTGTGTTTTTCAGAGTCCATCTTCTCTCATGGTTCGTCCACCCCTCTGATTTCCCCCGCTTCATTCCTCCCCTCCCGCTACCTTCTTCTTCTTCTTTTTTTTTTCTTAACATATCTTGCATTATTTGTCTCAGAGGTACAGATCTGAGACTCAACAGTCCTGCACAATTCACAGCACTTAACAGAGCACGTACCCTCCCCAGTGTCTATCACCCAGTCACCCCATCCCTCCCACCCCACCCCCCACTCCAACAACACTCAGTTTGTTTCCTGCAATTAAGAATTCCTCATATCAATGAGATCATATGATACATGCCTTTCTCTGTTTGACTTATTTCACTCAACATAATACCCTCCAGTTCCATCCACGTCGTTGCAAATGGCAAGATCTCATTCCTTTTGATGGCTGCATAATATTCCATTGTATATATATACCACATCTTCTTTATCCAGTCATCTGTCGATGGACATCTTGGCTCTTTCCACAGTTTGGCTATTGTGGACATTGCTGCTATAAACATCGGGG